AAAATAACAAAATTATTTATACACATTTCCTCCACCTTTATCTTCTTCACAGGTTGTTATTGCGGATGTTAATAAATCCTTTCTTTTTCGTTGATCAAATTCCTCATCCTATTACAACAATTAAAAACAAATGGTTCATTCATTTATCATCTATATCCATTCCGCCTGATATACAGTGTTTATTACAGTTGGGAGAAAATTTCTCGTTACCTTTTTGAAATTCTAAATCAACGATAATTGAATTGTTAAAAAATATTGAGTTTATGAGTAATAGAATACATATTGATAAAAGTTTGGCTGTCAGGAATCGCTCAATTCCGATCATTAACAGTGTGAATTCAGTTTCAAATATTTCTAATCCAACTAATACCCTAATTTCTCATCTCGTGCAAGTGACAAAAAAATTTACAATTGACAATCCTGATATTATTTTTACCAGAGCGGACAAGGGCAATATAACTGTAGCCATTGACAAAATTGAATACAAACAAAAAATGAACAGCATATTAAATGACTCGGATACATATATAACAATCAAGAAAGATCCAACTAAGTTTCTTACAAACAAGGTTAGAACTCTTCTCACGAGATGGAAAAGTGTGGGGTTGATTACGAAGAAAGATTACAGAAGGTTATATTGTTCTGATGAAAATTTGGCTAGAGCGTATGGCTTAGTCAAAGTTCATAAACCGGGCAATCCTTTGAGGATCATAATTTCATGTATGGACAGCCCTTTATACTCTATTGCTGCCTTTCTCCATACAATTAGGTGTACAACTTTGCTTCCGCCGTTTTCCTATAGATGGCTTTAGCGGTAAGTGGTGGTCGAAATAAATAGATCATAGACGTCATACAATAAACTTGGGCATCTATCAACATAGAAACCCCATAGAAACATTAGTCGATTTGTGTCTGCATCATAAAGTTATTCTCGATTAAAAATGTCAGTTTACGAACCAAATTCTCGTCATTTGCGGGAGGTTTTAATTTTCTGCTTCAATATGAAGAAATCTGCGGCTGAGGCTCATCGAATGCTCTCAAATACTTATGGTGAGGCCGCTATTAGTGAAAGAACGTGTCGTGAGTGGTTTCAACGCTTCAAGAACGGTGATTTTGACGTCGAAGCCCGGTATAACGGTGGAAGAGAGAAGGTTTTCGAAGATGCAGAATGGAGGCATTACTTGATCAAGACTCGTGTCAAAATCAAGAAGAATTGGCACAATCATTGGGAGTGACTCAACAAGCCATTTCAAAACGCCTCAAAGCCATGGGAATGATTCAGAAGCAAGGAAATTGGGTGCCGTACGAGTTGAAGCCGAGAGATTTTGAACGACGTTTGTTTGCTTGTGAACAGCTGCTTGAAAGGCAAAGACGGAAGGGATTTCTGCATCGTATTGTGACTGGGGATGAAAAATGGGTCCATTGCGATAACCCCCAGCGCAGAAAATCATAGGGAATTCCCGGCCATGCTTCCACGTCGGCGGCCAAACCGAATATTCACGGCTCCAAGGTCATGCTCTGTATTTGGTGGGACCAGCTCGGCGTAGTGTGTATTATGAGCTGTTAAAACCGACTGAAACAATCACAGGAGATCGGTATCGAACGCAATTGGTATGTTTGAGCCGAACATTGAAAGACAAACGGCCGCAATACAACGAGAGATACGATAAAGTTATTTTGCAGCATGACAATGCTCGACCCCATGTTGCGAAAGTGGTCAAGACATACTTGGAAACGTTGAAATGGGAAGTCCTACCCCACCATATTCTCCAGACGTTGCTCCCTCTGACTATCACTTGTTTCGATCAATGGCACACGACCTGGCTGACCAGCACTTCCGGTCTTATGAAGAAGTAAAAAATTGGATCGATTCGTGGATCGCCTCAAAAGATTACTATTTTTTTCGACGCGGGATTCGTACGCTGCCCGAAAGATGAGAGAAAATAGTGGTCACCAATGGACAATACTTTAAATTATAAATGTATAACCAATTTTTTACAATAAAGCCTCGAATTTCGGAAAAAAACGGCGGAAGCAAAGTTGTGCACCTAATATAATTTATAATAACTCACGGACAGCAGAGAGTCCTGTTAAGGATAGTTTTGATTTGGTTAATCAATTATCTGATATTCATATTGATAATAATTACAGTCTCATTTCACTGGACGTTATTTCATTATTTACCAATGTTCCAGTTGATTTAGTATTGGAGAGCATTAATGGTAGATGGAGTGATATTTCGAGGGGCTGTAACATCACTAAAAATGAATTCATTATATCTCTGCAATTAATTTTTGATTCGACCTTTTTCATTTTTGATGGTGTTTTCTATAAACAAACTTTTTATGGGTTCTCCTCTATCTCCGGTTTTAGCAGATTTAGTGTTGCAAGATTTGGAGAGTAGAGCATTGGAGATTCTAAGATTTTCATTGCCATTCTATGTCAGATACGTTGATGACATTGCTACGGCTGTGCCATCGGATGCGGTGGATGAGATTTTGGATGTTTTTAATTAATTCCATAGTAGATTGCAATTTTCTATTGAGATTGGAGATAAATCTTTAAATTTTTTAGATGTTAACATCATTATTAATAAGTATCTTGAATTTGATTGGTTACATAAACCAACCTTTTCGGGGAGATACTTGAATTTTTTGTCTTCACATTTGTTGTCACAAAAGAGAGGGGTGGTTTTTGGAATGATAGACCGGGTTTTTTTCTTATCGCATCCGAGATTCCATCAGAAGAATATTCTTTTTGTGATTGATATGTTACCAAATAATGATTATTCGTTAAATTTTATTTTCAAGACAATTAATTTACGTCTAAAATCACTCTTTTATAATCAAACGAGGAAACAGAATAATGTGAATTCTAATGACACAATGGACGAAATTAAACCGTGGATTACTTTGCCTTACATTCCGTTAATTTCTGACAAATTTATGAATATTGTTAATGATCTGAACATCAGATTATCTTTTTATAGTCTTAACAAATTGAATAGATATATTAAGGTTCACAAAGATATAATTCCGATTAACTCAAAAAGAGATGTTGTGTATCAGATTGCGTGTAATGATTGTGATGCTACCTATGTCGGTCAAACAGGTAGAAAATTACAAACTAGGATTTTAGGACATAAAAACCATATCAATAGAAACACGACAACACAATCGGTTATTACAGGACATAGGTTGGAGTATAATCATGAATTTGATTGGTCAAATGTTAGAATTTTGGATACAGAGAGATTTTTGAGAAAACATCTGACTTCTGAAATGATTTACATTAAGTTACAAAAAAATAGCTGGAATTTGTAGTCTGATACTGATTACTTAAATAATGCGTATTTGGATGTTATTAACAATCTTTGAGTTACCAATGTATTACAATTTTCATTTTGGTGTTATTTTCAATACTATATCGAGTTTATTACATGTAAGTTAGGCTTTAGTTTTCTCCGTTCTATTTGTTGACACAATACGGTGACATGTACATCATGTATGCTATTTCTTAACGATTCTGACTTTCATAACGATAACATCTTCATGATTTAATTCTACATTTACTTTGTTAATAAGATTAATCATTGTTATACATAAGAAATTTTTTCTTGCATTCTTACCTGCAGGTGAGTTTTTTATGTGTATAAAAAAGGTTTTTTTCTTTGTGATTATTTCTTTTGATTTGAATATTGAACTTATCTAATAAGATTAATTCCATCGTAGGATATGTAATTTTACATTACATCTTTGTCATGGTAACAAATTGATTGGATATAAACTTACATCAGGGCGGGTACTCGATCAGTGAGTGAGTTTGCAAGGAAATCTTTATGTTGGATTGTGTGAAACTTGTATGTAATGCGCTGAGGATGGCCCAAAGTGTTGGCCGAAACGTACGAATTTTGTGAACATAGGTGTTTTCTTAAATGCATTTATGTAAAATATGATCATTATTGATTTTTAACTAATTATTTGCGCACCAATTACCGCGCCATATTCTCATAGCCTTGTTTGATATATATTTATTAATAATTAATAAACATATATAACTAAGAAGCTGCATCACCGCGTTTCGATTTCAAAGTCTGACTTTCTTGAGGATTTAAAGGATATGGCTGTAAAAAAAATGTGGTATGTAACCTAACCTAACGTCCGGCTAACAAATTTTCGCAAAATAAGACGCCGGCCATCACTACAGAAACGGCGTGCGCTGAGAGCATCGTAGCGAACGCGAATTAAGCGCTCGCGGCCACGTGCACGGCGCATGAGTAGCAAGCCTTGCTCTTCCTTATGCTGCAACATTACTGTAACGAAACCATGAACAACAAAAATAGAGTCAAATTTATTAGATATTGTATCGAACATAACATTATTCCTGCACATCTTCAAAGAATATTAAAGTTTTCTCCGAAATTTGATGTACATGAATCTTCAGATTCTAAATATAATAATATCAGACAAGATTATATCAAAAAAGTTTTAAAGTTAGAACTGAATGATTCTTGTAGGTCTATTGAGCGTTCACAAAAGGTAATTTTCCATCTTGTACGTATCATATCTAATGAGTTGCCATACAATATTCTGGAAAAATTTTTTAATTCGCAGAATCGAAAAATATACAACCATTTTGTGCTAAATAAACAAAGAATAGATAAAAAAATAGCTTGGTTGACTCACAAGGAAGAAAAAAAGAAAAAGGCTAACATTAAAAAAGTAGAATATTTTTGGATACCAGGAGAATACAATTCAGACAACAATTATAAGTTTGCTCACGAAAGTGTTCCATTGTCCGCTTCGAACAGTCAGAATTTGGTAAATATTAGTATTTCTCCGGCTTATTTTTCAAATGATATTATCACTTCCTCTATAACTTCTATAAGGGACAAATGGTTCGTTAACCTTTCTTCCGTTGAGATTCCGAAAAAAATACAATGCTTGTTACAATTGGGAGAGAATTTCGCTCTTCCGATTGATAGTGGCAAAAAGGTAGCTATGGAATTCATGAAAACCATTGAATACAATTTAAAAAAATTGCAAAGTTCTGTTCACAATAGCGTTAGGAATCACTCATTGACTATCATTAACAATTTACTCTCATTTAAAACCAAGAATACGTTGATTTATGATAGGTTGAATCGTTTAATGAATCACACGAGACATTTCATCAAGGAGAACAATAACATTATTTTTACGAAAGCGGATAAGGGTAACATCACGGTGGCATTAGAAAAAACCTCTTACATCGAAAAAATTAGATCCATACTTTCGGACGAGGAGACTTATTTAAAAATTACAAAAAATCCTAGTAGTAAGATTAATAATGGCTTGAGGACGCTACTTACAAGATGGAAAAAATCTAAATTTATATCAGATCTAACATACAAGAAACTTTATTGTAGTGATGGCAATCTGCCCAGAGCATACGGATCTCCGAAGGTTCACAAGCCTGATTGTCCTTTCAGAATTATAGTGTCTGCGGTTGACAGTACGTTGTATGATTTGGCTGCGTTTTTACATCGTTTGATCGTCGAGAGTGTGCCAGAGGCTCCGAGTCATGTCAATAATAGCTATGATTTGATTGAAAAACTGAAAAGCATTAAAATCAAATCAGGATACAGCTTAGTATCGTTGGATGTGGTATCGTTATTCACGAATGTTCCCATAGACCTAGTCATGGAGGCTCTGTCTAATAGATGGAGGTATATAGAGAAGAAATGCAAAATAACAAAAGAAGAATTTTTAAAAGCGGTACATCTGATTTTGGACTCTACGTATTTCACTTTCGACGATCAAACTTATAAGCAAACCTTTGGTACTCCAATGGGATCGCCATTATCTCCCATTATAGCCGACTTAGTCATGCAGGATTTAGAGAGTCGTGTGCTGAGCACCATTAAGTTTCCGTTGCTTTTCTACTATAGGTACGTGGATGATATAGTACTTTGCGTACCCACGTCTGAGGTGGAGGACATTTTAAATAGATTTAACTCATTTCATCCGAGGCTTCAATTCACAATAGAGGTGGGGGGATCTCAGCACCCGATCTCACAGAAGAAAGGCACAATTTTTAGTTTGATTGACTGAGTGTTTTATCTCTCACATCCAGAGTTCCACAAAAGAAATCTGAATTTCATAATTAGTATTTTATTGGACAATGATCCGTTAGATTTTATTTTTGAGACGTTGAATAACAGGATAAAAAAATTAATAAAAAAATCCAATTACATGAGTAGGACTGATGGTGATTCGGCCAATAAGGAACACATTAGGTGGTTCACAATTCCGTTCATTAATGGGGTGTCCAACAAGTTTTGTAAATTTATTAATGGTATGTGTCACAGGGTGGCCCATTACAGTATTAATAAATTAAATAAGTTTATTATGGTGCACAAAGATCCACTGCCTAATCATTCTAAAAGAAATGTAGTGTATGAAATAAAATGTCGAGACTGTGATGCTACATATGTGGGACAAACGGGAAGAAAAACTGGTTAAGAAATTCTTAATATAAGTGTATTGTGTTACAATTATTAGCTTGAGTTCCACCATCAATTCCACTCAGCTAAGCAACTGGATGGCACAACATACAATATGTTGAAGATGGTTGTCTCTCACCACATTTCCAATGCAATGGTATTATGGTCGAAACTGTGATTGTGCGAGATGCAGCTAGACAGTAGGGATTAGCGGTAATTATTATTGCTGAAGATGGCTCAAAATTGTTAGCCGAAACGTCCAAATTAGTTTAATAATAATTGTTATATAATATAAGATAATTTACGCAACAAATATCTAGCGTTGACTCCAAACTGCCCATTGTTTATTATACATGAACAACAAATAACTGGAAACGTTACAACCTTACGCCAGACAACCACGTACACCACAATACAAGATATATACAAGAAACTATTCTACTACCAAAAAAATCACGTTAACAACACTATCAATTATAATAAATCTACATAATTAAATGTTGCAAGGGCAAGGCCCATGAACAAAGGAAAATAGCAGGCTGCTATAATTAACACGAACAACGCACAACGACCAACTAAACCCCAGCGTCGAATTATTATCAAATAATTCTCAGCGCTGCTACACGTATAAATCGTATGTGCACGACTCAAGAACTGCAATACACGGCTGCATAAGCTAAAGGAGCAGAACCAAGGACGGTAAACTGTGAAATAGAGCACGGAGATTCACCCCGGACATCGCGATGATAATTTTTACACCTAATTTCGCAAAAATCCATAAGATTAAAGGTGATCACGAGGTAATGGCATGATACGAGCATCACCCCCTTACCACGAGACGTCACCCCTTCGAGTAAATAAACCGGCAACACGAGGACCTCAGGTCGATTATTCTGATCAAAACCTCGCTAATACCCACTTCAAATATATATATATATATATATATATATAT